GGGGTTACCAGACTAGGAGAATTCTGGGGAGAGGGGAGAGAGAGTGAGTCACAAGGGAGATACCATGTAACTGCCGAGGGAGCAAGAGGGCTGGGTATCACCGGTAAACCAAGACACAGATTATTAGAAATGGTTTAAAATTTAAAGCTAGCTAATAAAAAGCCCGAGCCACTGGTCAAACAGTTTATAATTAATATAAGCCTCTATGTATTTATTTGGGACTAAAGGGCTTCCAGACCCTGTGGGACAGAAACTCCGTCTTCAGATGGGTGCTTGCCTGCATGCATGTAAGTGCACCAAGTGCATGCGTACCCAGGGAAACTAGGACTGGTTCCCTTGGAGCTAGAGTTACTGACAGTAGTGAGCCACCACCTGGGTGTTTGGATTAGAACCCAGATCCTCTGCAAGAGCAGCAACCCAAACCTGTGCACCAGAAAGGTGGGCGTCTCCAGCTTCAGTGTGCAGAGGCTTTTATTAAAATGCAGACAGTCCCATAGGTCTGGGGAGGTTCACAGCATGAGCGGTATGAAACTCGCTTACCAGTAGCCACTGTGAAGCATTTGTTACCGTTACTCTTTCCCCGCAGAGGCAGAAATGTGTGATCCCATGGTCACCCAGTGAGGGTCAGGACATACTCAGGAAACAAAAGCCCCTGGGGCCCATGCATGCTGTTATGCAGACCTGCTTGTGTGAAGACGGCCTGAGTCTGTCTTTGATGCCCAAGGACAGGAGACATCGTCTTCTCTGGCAGTGGAAGGCGGGTGAGGTCCTCTGGGCCTCCCAGCTGCTTTGCAGCTCTAGATTCCACGGCTCACCTGGGGGTGGTGTCGGGGGAAGGGGTGTGGAGTAGGTCAGCAAGGTCTTGTTTAGGAAACCCCTTTCCTTTACAGCTCGGTTAGCACACCAAGGCACACAGTCCCTGAGCCCGCGAGTTTACAATAGTCCCGCTTCCCAGTTGCGTTCACAGTGATCCATTTGATCGTTCCCCGTGTATTTACGGTGTTGTTGCTGCTAATGACTTAACTGTTGGGTGGGCATATTGAATGGTTTTGTATGGAAGTGGGTGCTCTGTGAAGATTTTATAAATACCTTACGTTATTTCACATCTGCGGGGAGGGCCTGTGATTAGGGAACATTCCGGAACACCAGGGAATCCTCCACTGTACACCTAACAGTTCATTTACTCTCTGGAGGCAGAGGTTTGTGTCGGAAGCCAAGCAGCCCTTTTCTCTCCCATTCCTTTTTGATCTTAGTTCAAAGACACTAACAAGATAAATCCACCAGGGTCTCAAAAGGTTTGGTCGCCACCTAGTGGATGATCGGGTAGCGGCCGCTAACATAACGGCCATGCACGCACAATCCAAGCCTGGATTTTATGTCTCCAACTTGGTTAATTTGGCTAATATTAGAGAACCATTTCTAACCCACCACCATGACTGCCGCAGTTCGGCATCCTCAGAGTCGCTCACTGCACTGTCAGAAGTGAGCTTAGGAAGAGGTGCAAAGGCCTCCGGGAAGGCTTGCAGCAGGCCCCGCCCTCTCCTAGGACTTCCCTCAAAAGCTGACTCCCTCCCAGCCGCGCCCGCTAAACTCATTGTGCCACATTGTTGCTAAAACTTCTTCCCCCAAATCCCAAAGATAAACCAAGATAGGATGCCACCAGAGTTCACTCGGGAAGAACAATGAGTTCATTAGGCTTCCTTACAGGGCGATGGTGGTTGCAGGCAATAGTGTTGGTGGCCTTAAAGCAGCTAGGCTGGAAGGTTTTCACCCGGCATGGGCTACCCTCGCCACCATGGTGGTATAGATGGAGCCCCTTCCCTCATCCTCTCAACCTATATCCTCTAGCCCCCCGCACAAGCCAAGTACATTTGGGACAGAATTGCATACAGGTGGTTAGGATTGTCTGGCCACTCCAGTGAGGATCCCATCAGCCTCCTCACGCTGTGGCGATACTTTGTAAGCGGGTACAGTCGAGTTCAGGGAGACGGCAGCAGAGGGGTTAGTCCTGTGCAACGCACCCTGCTCCTCACTCAACAACAACTCAAGCCATTCCCAGCCATGTGTCTGATGCATGAAGCAGTAACAGTAGCGCTTGCTCAACAGTGTCAGCATGAAGGTCAGGGTAACAGAGCCCCATCCTCAGCAGAGAAAATAAAGACAAACTGGAGAGAAAACCACATTTATAAACAAAAAACCCAGACAAACAGAAAAAACAACAACAACAGAAATGACACCAAGGCAGAAAAAATTCAGATATGTGTTCTGTTTAATTAGTCTCAAGGAAGGAAAAGTCCAAGTCCACAAAAACATACAAAATTAAACATACAGCATTACAACAGCAAATGATCATGTTGAATAGATTCAGGCCACATTACACAGGACAATAAATACCACTGTTACCTTGAATACAGTACCACCAGGGGTTCCGACTTCAACAGAACTGTTCAAGTATATGCATGAAAACCAAATGTGTAGGCCATGTAAGAAGCTGTTCTTAGGTCTTGCTAGAACATGACCCCAAGAGGACAAAGGATCAGAACAAAACCTCCTTTTCCGTGAAGACCAGTGCTGTCTCTTGTCTCCTCCATGGTCTAGGACAGCCAGGAACTCCATAACCTTCAAGTCAGTTACAGGTCTTCAGCCCTTTGGTCATATGGGAAAGTCCAAAGTCACGCCATCAGGGACTTCCTACAGTGCTTTGTGCTTTCTCCACTCACGGGTGTTACTAGGCCTGAGATACTGTTTTCCTTACGTCATTCTTGGGTTTGACAAGATCTGAGGGCTATGTAAACACCTCCCAAATGAGAGGTGCTTCCGGAAGTACACCGATTTGTCACTGTGGCCAGATAGTCTGGTTTGGCCTTGATCTGAAGGAGTTCACAGGTCAGTGTCCAATGCTATCCACTTGTCTGCGTGAGACATGTCCTTAGAGATCACAGAGAAAGCTGTACTTGATTAACTGCACTCAATATAATGGAACAAACTGCAATATTCAACAGAACCCAGTCCTATCCAATAATACTGTTTAACATGGACAATCAGCTTGGGCAAAGAGGTAAACAAAGCCACCTCTTTGGGCTGCTAGAGCTGTCGAAACATAGAACAGGAATTCCAGTCCCCAGATTGGGAGCCAATTTCCATGAATGGTGACGGGAACCAATGCATGAGGCATACATGTGTGTAAGTCAGACTTCCGTTTACCAACCCTGAAGCTTCCTAAAGATCTGCATAAAAACCTAGAGAAAGAATAAGAGAGGAGCCAGTGACAGTTCAAATCATCTGTGTCCAAGGAGTAGGGAAGTGAGCACACAAGGCCTCACTCAGGGGTGTGAAGAGGGAGAGGAGTGGCACTGCCCTCCCAAAACAAGGTGCACACCATGGGGCCTATGTGGATGGTGCGTCTGTGGGCTGACTGCAAATCGTACATATTTTGGTCACAGAAAAAGGCATGAGACAGCTGGGCAGTGGATGAGCATGACTTTAATCCCAGCACTCTGAAGGCAGAGGCAGGAGGATCTCCGTGAGTTCGAGGCCAGCCTGGTCTACAAAGTGAGTTCCAGGACAGCCAGGGCTACACAAAGAAATCCTGTCTCAAAAAACAAACTAACAAACAAAAATGCCACGAGACTGCCATGTAAGAATGTACTTTCTCCAGGAGGGCAGTGCAAAAAGAATTGGAAAATAAAGTCCTGAAAGAAAAAGGCTGGAGGGAAAAAAAAAAGAGTTCGTGTGTTGTTCGATATGGCTGACAGAGTGTGCCTGATATCTGAGCTTTGCACTGGTTTTGAGGATGACCTGGTCTCGCTGATCTGCTGACACAGATGGCACCTGCGGCTGCGTGAGATTTCCAGCTGTCCTTTTCCCTAAAGGTGAAAAAAAACCCAACAGAGTCATGGATGCCCAAATCAAGTCCAACAGTTGTTTCACTGCCTGAGAGCAGCAGCCAAGAAAAGGTTTGCAGAAACACATGGATGAAAGTTCCCCAGGCAGAAAAGACTCCAACGCAGCTGAGGAAGGAGAGCCAGGAGGCCACAGCAGATAAGAACACTCAGGACAGTATCCAGATGCACACACCCCCACAGGCGCAGACAGACACACACGCACACGTGCACTCACTCACGCACGGCAAATGTGTCTGCTTCCTCCCCAGTCATGATTAGAAACCCTGCTCCTACAAACGGAAATAGACCATTAGTTTTGACCCAGACCAACAGGATATGGGCCCCTGGTTGGTAATTTGACAACTTACATTTGAGTATTACCCAAAAGTCTAAGGCGCTAGGGCATTCTTTCTTGCCTCACCCGACAGCAGCAACCATGGTTGGGCCTGCTGACATTCCCTCTGGAAAGACTATGAATGATTTTAACTTGAGTTTTGAGAACTCAGAAATGGGCTACAGCACTACCTCTGGACTTAAAATGCCTTTTAAAATGCGCCAGATAGACAATCTAGATGCCTTTGCCTCTGGCAAGGAACTGGCTCAGATAAATGACACTCAAAATAGAAACACATGTGATCCCCTAACTGCAGTGGAACTGAGGCTGGAGGAGGGTGGAGGACAGACCCAGGGAAAGACTAACAGCAGAAACACTGCTTGAGGGTTTATGCAAAACCACGAGGCAGGCAGCCAGCAGGGCCTTTCTTCTCTGAGACACTAGGGTTTCTCTCATGTAAAGCAGGTTCACACCACTCCCGTACTCCAGAGACAGGGACACTGGGGCCAGGTCTATGCTGGTGGACTGGCACTGCTGTTTCGATCGTTTGTATCAGACACATGAGTTAATTTTTACCGTTGGGTCCCTCAAAGCCTAAGATGGCATACCAAGAACAGCCTTACTGAGACCTCTGAAAATAAGTGTTGAGGCGGGGTGGGGTAACCGGAGAGCCAGCGGCTACTTGAGTCAGTTATCACAACTGGGTTGCAATTCGCCATACCTGTGGGTGGGGCCCCCACTTTTAGACACCTGCGGGTCTTGGAGATTCTTTACCTCAGGAGTCACTTTAACTTATACATGCTTTGCTTTCCTCCATTTGTTTTGAGTTTTTTCTCTCTGGATGAAGACGTGAGACCATAGTTGTTTGCATTTCCCTTTTTCTTCAGGTCCAGGTGAGCTTGTGATCTGGAGGCCCCACAGGAGTCTCTTGGGTCCAGCACTGCGGACTTCGTAGGAATTCGGATGTTCCCATTGGCTTCCAGGGCAGGGCTGCCCTCAGCGCAGGGTGGAGCACAGAGGTGAAGCTTGGGGGCCTTACTTGATTTCTTCTTCTTTTCCATTCTCACCTCAGGGGCTTGTTTCTGAGAACACAGCCTGGGGCGCCCAGGCCCATCCACAGATCTAGGTGAAGTCTCAAATGTGTAGTAGGATGGGTGGATTTCTTCATGGTGGAAACCTTTCTTTCGAGAAGGGCCTGGCTTTGGAATCCCTTCCGGGGACAATAATGGCTTGGACAGCACACTGGTGAGGAGTTTTCCTCTCCTGGGGCTTTTCAGCATCCCAGAGGCCCCAGGGGGCCTTGCCTTGGCAGCTCGGGCCTTCTCACACTGCACAGTTTGGACCTGCAGCCATTCCAGCTGAAGAAGTCTGTCTATGTACTTCCCGAGGAACCCCGTGGCCCGGGGCAGGGCCTCACTCCTGCACTCTGTGTTCATGGCCACAGCCATATCCTGGAGGTCCCAGGAGCTGAACGGGGGTGGAAGAAAGTCGGGGTAGCAGTGTTCAGGTTCTGCCAGCCTCGGGTCTGGGTAGAGACTGAAGGATACTGGATCTATCTCTTCAGCTCGAAGGTTGAGGTCAGGGGGCGTGAATGGAGAAGGAGGAATGGCCACTCTCTCTGAGTCGGATAGGTCACTTGCACTGTCCTCGTCAGTGCCATCCTTAATGATTTTCATGGACTGAAATTCAAGGAACAGCTTGCTTCCAGAGGCAGCCTGACACCTGGAGCTGAGCACGGTCCGCTCTTGATCCTGTCTTCCCTCAGTGGAAATGGTTCGAATGAGCTTATCTGCTGCAGGCTGGGAGATGCCAAGGAGGCTGCTTCCCAGGTGGGAAGAGGCCTGGAGTCCTTGGGATCTACTCTGCCTTTTCCCGGAAGACGTCTTTGAATGTTGTTCTTGATTCCAAGATGAGCCAGCATTCATACTGCCAAAAAAATAAAACTGAGGTCTAATCACTAATGATTAGAGAAACAGGAGTCTCCTGCTAACACTTTAGCTATTACTAATATGAGGCCTCCAGGTGCTCTACAGAAGCAGGATTTGCAAACCAGTTTCCACTCTGTACTCTAGTCAGGGGCCCGTAGAGAATGCATGCCCCAAATGTGGCATTTACGTGAGTGGGGGAACTCCTGTCCTCGTACCTGTCCAGCAAGTGCTTACACCATTAAGCCACCCCCAGCCTGGATTTCACTGTTTAATCACCAACCCGAGGAAGGTTCTGAGACAACTGAAATTTTGCGTACTAAAGCATGTAAAAATATGTAAACATATGCACGTACTTCAGTCTTTACACACTGAAGTATGTAAGTTTTTCACTGTTCATTCCAACCTATACCAGGAGTCAAACCTTTACTGCTGTCTTTCCAAGTGGGAGACACTCAGGAACAGCTGTGTTTCAAAGGCTAGAAGGGGCCATCAAGATGCCTCACCAGGTAAAAGCACTTGCCCCCAACCCTAAGGACCTGAGCTTCATCCCCAGACCCACATGGTAGAAGGAGAGAATTAACTCCTTTAACTTATTTTCTAAACACATGTGCACTGTGGCATGCGTGTACATAAACACTCATACACACACACACACACACACACACACACACACACACACACCCCAATAGAATGTGATAAGGATAGAAATAAAGTCACATGGTACCAGGATAATTGATTCAAGGAAGACGGAAAGCAGGACAGATGCTGTCTTGGGAACAGCAGGCAAAGAGAAGGAACACCTGTTCTGCCCTGTTCTAGTGGACCAGCAAATGCCTTCTAGAGTACTTGCAAGTGAGGCGGGTCTCACGGGAGTTGAAATACCTCCTTTTTGGTTTCCTAACCACGCATTTTTAACTAAAGTTAATAGTACTTCCTTATGATAGAGTCGGATGCGGGATAAGAAGAAGGTACTTTCTAGGAAGGGGAAGATTCGTTTGTGCAGTGTTCTCTAGATTACTCTGCAACAATTATTTGAAAAGGCATCACACTTGCTTAACACACGCAGACGACATCAGGTCAGTGCAAGCAGGCAGTGCAAACAAATGAGAGAATGGCTGCCATTAGGAATTGTCTGCAGATTGGAGAGGAGGCTTGGCAGTTTAGAGCACTGGCTATTCTTGCAGAGGACTTGGGTTCAGTCCCAACACCCTCAGGGCAGCTCAGAAGCACTTCTACTCAATTTCCAGGGTATTCAATGCCTTCTTCAGGCGTGGAGGTGCATGCATGCAAAATACTAATACACATAAAAATAAACAAAGCTAAAAAAAAAAAAAAACCTGTTCACAGCCAGCTGCACATCACACACACCAGCCTTTGGTGGTCTCCCTCTCTTCTGAACAGAAGGAAGCTGAGAGAGCAACTAAAGCCAACTAAGAATGCTGAGACACATTTCTGCTACAGACAAAGTGCAAATGAAGTCCAACGAGGAAGAACTGAAGGGTCTGCCTTTTGCATGAGGAGACAGGATCTGGAAACTAGTTACCTGCTTTTTTGATGAAAGTCACTCATCCTATTCCTTTTCTTAAACAGGTCACAGGGCTGCTCATCATCTGAGGTTTGATGGGTTGTCTAAAAAACAAAAATAACAGAGTATTGATCAGAAAGTGCTGTGAACTCACAGGCCTGTGCATGAGCACACACACACACACACACACACACACACACACACACACACACACACACACTCACACACACACACACACTAGCAGACCTACGCTCATGGCATGACATGACTGTTACCATCTTGAATCAGACTATCTGACCACCAACAGGAAATGTTTGCAAGGTCAGGCTATTAGTTTCCCTAGTAGAAAGAAGTCACGGGACGCCCTTAAAAGACAGGGCCTACCAACATTCCCCACTGTAGGAGCTGGAGAGGAAAGTCCATCAGACCTGCACTTTAGAGCCCCTCTCTCCATTCCCCTCCTGCCTTGCCAACAGTGTGCCATACCTACTTCCCCAACAGCACGTGGCCTTGGGAGTGGCAGAGTACCTAGGAGGGGGAAGGCTGACTGGGTTTGGGGGACCAGTGAAGCTACTTCTCTGAGTTGTCCCTCATGCTGGAGAGGGACTGTTGGTCACCCACGTTCCTTTAAGTGACCCCCAACAAATTCACTGGTCCACCAGAATGCACTTGAGGTATGTTGACACCCTCTCTCATGGGTTGTAGAATAACAACAATTTAAATATTATGTAAATAATACAAATAATGTAACAGAAGGTGCACACACTTGCACACTGGAAGCATAAAACAGGAGAGGACCGAGACAAATCTAAGTAAGATTTCCTCTCAAAGTTATATCACCTTCTCTGCAGCGCTCAGAATAGTCTTGCTCAATCTGTTGCCAGATGATGACAGCTGGGGAGGGGTCTTCTTTATCCCCCTTATCTTTGGAGAGGACGCCGAGCCACCGGAACTGGAAAGGACACAACACTGACAGTAAGTACTGATTGGCAGTTGGTTACCTTTCCACGTGTTTTTGATCTTTGTATTTGAGCCACACTGAACCTCGAAGCTGTGGCTGGGCAGTGGCTCAGAATCCTGCACTACATGAGAAATGGGGAGGATACTGTAACATGTTTACAGTTTGATAGTTTTAATATTTATCATGCATTAAATGTGCGTGATAGAGGGGTGGATGTTCGAATGCAAGTGTGGATGACCTCACAGGTTAGATGAGGGCTAGAATTAACTGGCAGTTGTGAGCCAGCTACCCAATATCGGTGTTGAGAATATTTACCCTTTTACCTGCACGGTGTCTATTAAGTGTGAGACCACAGGGTTATGAGAGCTGTGAATGGATTCTGAAGCCTCACCTACACATACACGCACGCACGTGCCTTTCAAGTGATGCCAATTAAATTCACCTTTTACCCCAAAGAACATTCATTCATTCATTCATTCACTCACTCATCTAGTGATACAAGACAGTCTAAAACATACAAAGACTGCACACAGGGTCCTCATCCCACAAAGACAAAACGCCAGTGGGGAGGTGCCCTCTGAATTCCTCCAAATTCACCATCATACCAACCCATGAAAAGATCCTTAGCGGGGGTCTGGGGCCGAGGCTGCAGAGCACTGCAGATTCTCCTGTGGACCCCAGTTAAGCTTCCAGCACTATGTGGGTGGCTCACAGGGGCCTGCAACTCCAGTTCCAAGTGGACACCCTCCCCTGGCTCCCAGAGAACTTGTACTCATGGATACACATAATGTCAAAGACCATCAGCGAACTAACTCCCGTTATAGGTTACAAGCTGTCTCACTATGAAGTGCAGGTACTCACACCACAGGCAGCCATAATTACTGTTATTTTGAGGAGCCTGCTGAAAGAGCATGCCGTAGAAACTGAGTATTTCTCTCCTGTAATACCCCAGCCTCTATCAAATTGAAAAGAGGTGGGCTTGTGGGAGATTCCCTCAACCACCACCATCAGGAAACCCTTCTAGGTTTACACGTGAAGATATCAAAACCAAACCGTGACATTTTATGGTTAATGATTCCTTTTAGATTCAGAAAACGTTCGTTGGTCACCCTCTGTCTTTACCCTGTTCCTCCTGTTGTAAAGTGGAAAAGAAACCAAAAAGGAAAGTCTGATCTGACCCGGGCACTCACTTTTAGAATGTGCAGTGCCTGCCGGGCTCCTCATCTACCTGGAAAACTGGACACATAGGAGGTAGGGGGGTGTGTGTGTGTGTGTGTGTGTGTGTGTGTGTGTGTGTATGTGTGGTTCCTAGGATAAAAACAAGCCTGCGGTGCAATCAGGGTGCAGGGGTGAGGAATGGGGAGTGGACAGAGAGACAGGGAGGAGGCAGAGAACCCATGGTTTCAGCTTGCATAGCAGCAAAACTAAAGCTCAAGACATTTGGCTACAAAAATGCTCCTCAAGAGCCAGAAGCTGGATTCCCGGCAGCTGCACAATCCATCTTGGGTATTAGCCCCTGTTCCCACTGTCTTCCTCTCTGGCTGCAAGCCCGGCAAACGGAAGCAACGTCCCTCACCTCCCCCGCCGGGAACCGGCTGCCGGGCCAATAGGGAGGCACAGCATGGTGGGGAGGTGTGGGCATGATGCTTCCCTCAGCAGCAAGCTTCCCCAGTCTGGCCGCTAGTCCAGGTCGCTGCAGATAGGTGGCCCAGAGCTGGCTGGCTTGCAGGCTTACCATAGTCTTAGGGCCAGCTCGCC